CAAAATATTTTATTTTTCCTTCGCTTATGAAGCTTAGTTTGGCTGGATGTAAAAATTCTGGGTTGAAAGTTCTTTTCTTTCAGGATGTTGAATATTGGCCCCCACTCTCTTCTAGCTTGTAGGGTTTCTGCTGAGAGATCTGCTGTGAGTCTGATAGGCTTCCCTTTGTGGGTAACCTGACCTTTCTCTCTGGCTGCCCTCAGTATTTTCTCCTTCATTTCAACCCTGGTGAACCTGGCGATTATGTGCCTTGAGGTTGGTCGTCTTGAGGAATATCTTTGTGGTGTTCTCTGTATTACCTGGAGTTGAATATTGTCCTGTCTTGCTAGGTTGGGAAAGTTTTCCTGAATAATATCCTGAAGCGTATTTTCCAGCTTAGATTGATTCTCTTCGTCACATTCATGTACACCTATCAAGCATAGATTAAGTCTTTTCACATAGTCCCATATTTCTTGGAGACTTTGCTCGTTCCTTTTTATCCTTTTTTCTCTAATCTTGTCATCTTGTTTTATTTCATTAAGTTGGTCTTCGACTTCTGATATCTTTTCTTCTGCTTGATCGATTCGGCTGTTAAAACTTGTGCATAGTTCGCGAAGTTCTCATGTTGTGTTTTTCAGCTCCATTAATTCACTTATATTCCTCTCTAAATTGTGTATTTTTGTTAACATTTCATCAAACCTTTTTTCAAAGTTCTTAGTTTCTTTGCATTGGGTTAGAACAAGTTCTTTTAATTCACAGAAGTTTCTTATCATCCACCTTTTAAAGCCTGCTTCTGTTAATGGAACACACTCGTTCTCCATCAGGCCTTGTTCCGTTGCTGATGAGGAACTGTGATCCCCTGTAGAGGGAGAGGCGTTCTGATTTTGGGTATTCTCAGCCTTTTTAGGCTGTTTTCTTCCCTTCATTATAAATTTATCCATCTGTGGTCTTTATAATTGGGTTTCTGAGTGGATGTCCAACTTGTTGATTCCCAGCGCTAAAATCTGAGCAACCCACTGCGCCGTCCAAAACAGCGGCGTTATGATTGATGGTGCTTTTCTGACTCTGCACCAAGAACCACAGCACCAAGGCAGCGGCAAAACCGCCTTGCCGGCCACGAGCTGCGCTGGCGACCCGTGGGGCTCCTCCGCCGGGAATCTCCTGGTGCGTGAGCAACAAAAATTCGTCTGAAAGTGTGGCGTCCTCTCGTTGTCTGCACTTTCACTGGGAGCTACAATCCCGAGCTGCTGGTGATCAGCCATCTTGGATCTCCCCGGCACATGAGTTTGACGTGGTAGTTTGCTTCTGTTAGAATTGTCTGGGTTTGATGCAGTAAGGCCAGAGCTTGAAATCAAGAGAAGATTCACGTTTGTATCTTTAGAGTTACATTTACTTAGTTGCCCTCTAATTGTTATTATTGTTGTTGCTGCTGCTGCTGCTGCTATTATTTTGAGGAGTCTCCGTCCCCCACGCTGGAGTTCAGTGGCGTAACTCAGCTCACTGCAACCTCCACATCCTGAGTTTAAGCGATTCTCTTGCCTCAGCCTCCCAAGCAGCTGGGATTACAGGCGTGCACCCCCGCACCGGCTAATTTTTGTGTTATTAGTAGAGACAGGGTTGCACTATGTTGGCTAGGTTGGTCTCAAACTCCTGACCTCAAGTCATCTGCCCGCCTCAGCCTCCCAAAGTGCTGGGTTACAGGTGTGAGCCACCTCGCCCGGCCCTGTGCTCTGATTATTAAATGCCTACAAATTATTAAAAGCCACAGATGGTTATAATATTTGCTATTTTTTACATGAAAGAAAAGGGATGATAAAAACTTGTTGTGACCTTTCTTTTTTCTAAGTACACAATTTACAACACTGTCCAAATGATATTTCAAGTAATTTAATATTAGCAAGGTAATTCCATAAGTTAACCTAATGTTACTGGTATTTATTGTATCTGTCCCTGATCAAGGCATTGAAAGGATAAAAATGTAATATTATTTTGACTTTCCTAATGCCTGTGAACATTTTATTTATTTTATTGGCATATTTATTTTAGCTTCTGTAGGGAAGTACTTTTTGTTTAAGACAAACCAAGACAGTTTATTAGTTTGCCATGAAAATAAAACTGGGTTCTTGCAACCTGACCAACACATTCTCACCATGGGCATTGCAGGAACCCAGAGTTTCAGAAACGGGTGTTGTCAGAGTGACCGCACCCAGAGGGGCCCATGTCTAACACAGGCGTCACGTTGGGGTTTTGAAATCAGATGTATGGCAAGGCACACGCTCATGCAGTGTGCCACGTACTAGAGTTCCGATTCTGTTTTCTTCACCAAAGCTGAAGGCCAGTAGAGTCCTTGTGAGGTGTGAGCTTTCTCCTTCCCCCTCTCCCCACCCTGCTCCATGGTTTAAATTTCCATCTTAATTTTTTTTAATATTCCCAAAAATAGAGAATATGGAGAACCCCTCTGTTCTTATTGTTCCACTTCAACACTTGCCGGTGTTTGGCTAGTCTTGTGTTACTAGCCCCTCATTTTATAGGCTGCATGTTTCATGCAAATCCCAGATATTATTATTTTGCCTGTAAGTTACAATCAGGTTTTAAGAATTAGTTTTATGTGGAGAAATGTTGTGCATATCCCATTGATTTCCTGTGATTGCTGTGATAGGATGCTGCAAGCTGAGGGGCTTCAAACAACAGAAACTTCTCACAATTCTGGAAACCAGAAGTCCAGCATCATGATGTCTGGGCCGGGTCCCTCTGAAACCTGTCAGGGAGAGTCTTCGTGCTGCTCCCAGCTTCTGGTGCTGCCAGCAGCCTCTTGGAGCTCCTAGGCTTATAGACGCCACTGTAGTCCTTGGTGCCCCCAGGGCCCCTGTGCTGTGTCCTCACGTGGCCATTTTCCTGTAAGGACACCAGTCACACCAGATTAGGGGCCCACCTACTCCAGTATGACCTCATCTTACCTTAACTAACTACATCGGCAGTACCGTTTCCAAATAGGTCATGCTCTCAGTACTGGGGTTTAGGACTTCAACGGTTTTGGGGACACAGTTTAACTCATAACACATATAAGTGGCTACAAGCTTTCTAAAGGGCATTGAGTCAGTATTTATAAAGAGCCTTTAAAATGTCATATTCTTTCTTCCAGAATTTTAGGAATTTGTCCTTAGGAAATAGTGAAGTATGTATACAGATTTAAGGGGGGAAATGTTTGCAGTTAAATAATGGATGTTAATGAAAAATCAGAAAATAACAGAAAAATGGCGTAGGAGGCTCTTCTCTCATTTCTATAAAGAAATACATGAGACCGGATAACTTATGGGAAAAGAGATTTAATAGGCTCACAGTTCTGCAGACTGTACAGGAAGCATGGTGCTGGCACCTGCTTCTGGAAGGCCTCAGGACCTTCCAATCATGGTGGAAGGCAAAGGGGAACAGGCATGTCACACGGTGAAAGCTGGGGCAGAATGTCACACACTGAAACAACCACAGCTCCTTACCCTGAGGACAGCACCAAGAGGATCATGAGAAATCCACCCCGTGCTCCAGGCCCCTCCCCGCCAGGCCCCTCCCACCAGGCCCCACCTGCAACACTGGGAGTTATGCTTCAACCTGAGATTTGGGCAGGGACAAATATCCAAACCATATCAAATGGTAAAGTAATGGCATAGTCATTTGATGAATCACGCAGCCATAAAAGTCTTCCATTTTTGGAAAGTAGGTAATGTATGTAAAAGAATGCTCATAATTAAAGCAGTCTACAAAATATTGTAGTATGATCACAGTATGACCACATTTTGCTATGTAGGAACAGAAATAGTATGAACAAATTATTAAAAATATATCCATAAGAAAGATGGGAAAGAATATAGTAAAATATTGCTGGGTGTGGTGGTTCACGTCTGTAATCCCAGCGCTTTGGGAGGCCACGGCAGGCATATCATCTGAGTCCAGGAGTTCAAGACTAGTCTGGGCAAACTGGCAAAAACTTATCTGTACAAAAATTAGCCGGGTGTGATGGTACGTGCCTGTAGTCCCAGCTACTTGGAAGGCTGAGATGGGAGGATTGCTTGAGTCCAGGAGACACAGATTGCAGTGAGCCAAGATCTCGCCACTGCATTCCAACCTGGGCAGCAGAGCCAGAGACATCCAAAAAAAAAGGTAATAATAGCAGTCACTCCTGGGTGTTGGGATTGGAGCTGATCTTATTTTCTTTTTATTTTTCTGGCTTTTCTAAATCTCTGATAAACTTGCAATTTAAAAAAATTACAGAAAATTCGTTATATGCAGTATTGTTGGGGGTGCTATTAGTATTTGCAAGTGCTCAAACCTAACTAACTGAGGGGAAATGATGGCAGGATTCTACAGGCATATTTTAGAGCAGCTGTGAGATGCATGTAACTATGTATTTATAAAAGTACAAATTTGTAAAAGTTCCTATGGATGATTACTACTAGATCATCATAAATGATATATCTGTGGACATTTTCTGTAGGACTTTCATAACTTGTTACCTGAGTGAAATTTAATTCCTGGACTATTCTGGGAAATGGTGAAGTGAGGCAGAAGGAGCCAGTGGCCAAGGTCCCAATAGAGTCTCATGATCTTCTCACGTGTTTGCTGCACGGGGAAAACGTTGAAGAATTAGTTTGAAAATTTCCCTGGCATGGTGGCTTACTCCTGTGATCTCAGCACTTTGGGAGGCTGAGGTGGGAGGATCACTTGTGCCTGGGACACATGGCAAAACCCCATCTTTACAAAAAATACAAAAATTAGCCAGGCATGGTGGCACATGCCTGTGATCTGAGCTGCTTGGGAGGCTAAGGTGGGAGGATCATTTGAGCCTGCAGTGAGCCATGATTACGCCACTGTACTCTAGTCTGGACGACAGAGAGAGACCTTGTCTCAACAAAACAAAACAAAAGTTGCCCTGTCCACACAAATTCTTGGTTTTGTGCATTTATAAAGTGAAAGCCAAAGTGTGTGTTTTTTTCAGTTTTTTTTTTTTTTTTTTAATCTCCTTTTAGGTTAAAAATTTTGCAGTTATTTATCTTGTGGATATTACGGAAGTACCTGACTTCAACAAAATGTATGAGTTATACGATCCATGTACTGTCATGTTTTTCTTCAGGTATGTTATCTTAAAGTTGTTATTGAAATTGAATTTTGTCAGTTTAATGTAACCAAGATCTCTTTAGATTATGTTATTTTGAAGGAAGTTGGTTAGTCATATTCCAATATCGTTTGTATCACCAGGCAATCAGTGTGAATCCTTTAAATAATTTTCTTTTTTTTTTCCCCCCCCATTTATTTATTTTTTTGCATTTTAGGTTTTGGGGTACATATGAAGAACATGCAAGATTGTTGCATAGGTACACACGTGGCATTGTGATTTGCTGCCTTCCTCCCCATCACCTACATCTGGCATCTCTCCCCTTGCTATCTCTCCCCAACTCCCCACCCCCCACCGTCCCTCCCCTATTTCTCCCCAACTGACCCCAGTGTGTAGTGCTCCACTCCCTGTGTCCATGTGTTCTCATTGTTCAACACCCGCCTATGAGTGAGAACATGTGGTGTTTGATGTTCTGCTCTTCTGTCAGTTTGCTGAAAATGATAGTTTCCAGGTTCATCCATGTACCTACAAAGGACACAAACTCACCGTTTTTGATGGCTGCATAATATTCCATGGTGTATATGTGCCACATTTTCCCTGTCCAGTCTATCATCGATGGGCATTTCAGTCAGTTCCAGGTCTTTGCTATAGTAGACAGTGCTGCAATGAACATTTATGTGCACGTGTCCTTATAGTAGAACGATTTATAATCCTTTGGATATAATACCCAGTAATGGGATTGCTGGGTCAAATGGAATTTCTATTTCTAGGTCCTTGAGGAATCGCCACACTGTCTTCCACAATGGTTGAACTAATTTACACTCCCACCAACAATGTAAAAGTATTCCTATTTCTCCACATTCTCTCCAGCATCTGTTGTCTCTAGATTTTTTAATGATCGCCACTCTAACTGGCGTGAGATGGTATCTCAATGTAGTTTTGATTTGCATTTCTCTGATGACCAGTGATGATGAGCATTTTTTCGTATGTTTGTTGGCCTCATGTATGTCTTCTTTCATGTAAAGTGTCTGTTCATATCCTTTGCCCACTTTTGAATGGGCTTGTTTGTTTTTTTCTTGTAAATCTGTTTTAGTTCTTTGTAAATTCTGGATATCAGCCCTTTGTCAGATGGGTAAACTGCAAAAATTTTTTCCCATTCTGTTGGTTGCTGATCCACTCTAATGACTGTTTCTTTTGCTGTGCAGAAGCTGTGGTGTTTGATTAGGTCCCATTTGTCTATTTTGGCTTTTGTTGTCAATGCTTTTGGTGTCTTGGTCATGAAGTCCATGCCTATGCCTATGTACTGAATGGTTTTGCCTAGATTTTCTTCTAGGGTTTTTATGGTGTTAGGTCTTATGTTTAAGTCTTTAATCCATCTGGAGTTAATTTTAGTGTAAGGTGTCAGGACGGGGTCCACTTTCTGCTTTCTGCACACGGCTAGCCAGTTTTCTCAACACCATTTATTAAACAGGGAATCCTTTCCCCATTGCTTGTTTTTGTCTGGTTTGTCAAAGATCAGATGGTGGTAGATATGTCGTGTTGCCTCTGAGACCTCTGTTCTGTTCCATTGGTCTATATCTCTGTTTTGGTACGAGTACCATGCTGTTTTGATTACTGTAGCCTTGTAGCATAGTTTGAAGTCCAGTAGTGTGATGCCTCCAGCTTTGTTCTTTTTGCTTAGAATTGACTTGGCTATGCGGGCTCTCTTTTGGTTTCATATGAAGTTTAAGGTGTTTTTTTCCAACTCTGTGAAGAAGGTCATTGGTAGCTTGATGGGGATAGCGTTGAATGTGTAAATTACTTTGGGCAGTATGGCCATTTTCATGATATTGATTCTTCCTAACCATGAACATGGAATGTTTCTCCATCTGTTTGTGTCCTCTCTTATTTTGTTGAGCAGTGGCTTGTAGTTCACCTTGAAGAGGTCCTTACGTTCCTTGTTAGTTTTATTCCTAGGTATTTTATTCTCTTTGTAGCAATTGTGAATGGTAGTTCGTTCTTGCTTTGGCTCTGTTATTGGTGTATAGGAATGCATGTGATTTTTGCACATTGATTTTGTATCCTGAGACTTTGCAGAAGTTACTTATCAGTTTCAGGAGATTTGGGGCTGAGACGATGGGGTCTTCTAGATATTCAATCATGTTGTCTGCAAATAGAGACAATTTGACTTCCTCCTTTCCTATTTGAATACCCTTTATTTCTTTTTCTTGCCTGATTGCTCTGGCTAGAACTTCCAGTACTATATTGAATAGGAGTGGTGAGAGGACATCCTTGTCTGGTGCCACATTTCAAGGGGAATGCTTCCAGTTTTTGCCCATTCAGTATGATATTGGCTGTTGGTTTGTCGTAAATAGCTTTTATTATTTTGAGATACGTTCTGTCAATACCTAGCTTATTGAGGGGTTTTTTTTTTTTTTTTTTTTTTGAGACGGAGTTTCACTCTTGTTACCCAGGCTGGAGTGCAATGGCGCGATCTCGGCTCACCGCAACCTCCGCCTCCTGGGTTCAGGCAATTCTCCTGCCTCAGCCTCCTGAGTAGCTGGGATTACAGGCACACACCACCATGCCCAGCTAATGTTTTGTATTTTTAGTAGAGACGGGGTTTCACCGTGTTGACCAGGATGGTCTTGATCTCTCGACCTCGTGATCCACCCGCCTCGGCCTCCCAATTATTGAGGGTTTTTAGCATAAAGGGCTGTTGAATTTTGTCAAAGGCCTTCTCTGCATCAATTGAGATAATCATGTGGTTTTCGTCTTTGGTTCTGTTTATGTGGTGAATTACGTTTATAGACTTGCGTATGTTGAACCAGCCTTGTATCCCCGGGATGAATCCTACTTGATCATGGTGGGTAAGCTTTTTGATATGCTGTTGCAATCGGCTTGCCAGTATTTTTTTTGAAGATTTTTGCTTCTATGTTCATCATGGATATTGGCCTGAAGTTTTCTTTTCTTGTTGAGTCTCTGCTGGGTTTTGGTATCAGGATGATGATGGTCTCATAAAATGACTTGGGAAGAATTCCCTCTTTTTGTATTGTTTGGAATAGTTTCAGAAGGAATGGTACCAGCTCCTCTTTGTAAGTCTGGTAGAATTTGCCTCTCAACCCGTCTGGACCTCGGCTTTTTTTGGGTGGTAAGCTCTTAATTGCTGCCTCAACTTCAGACCTTGTTATGGGTCTATTCAGGGTTCTGGCTCCTTCCTGGTTTAGGCTTGGGAGGAGGCAAGTATCCAGGAATTTATCCATTTCTTCCAGGTTTACTAGTTTATGTGCATAGAGTTGTTTGTAGTAATCTCTGATTATGGTTTGAATTTCTGTGGAATCTGTGATGATATCCCCTTTAGCGTTTTTTATCGCATCAATTTGGTTATTCTCTCTTTTCTTTTTTATTAATCTGGCTAGTGGTCTATTTTGTTGATCTTTTCAAAAAACCAGCTCCTGGATTTGTTGATTTTTTGAAGGGGTTTTTGTGTCTCTATCTCCTTCAGTTCTGCTCTGATCTTAGCTATTTCTTGTCTTCTGCTAGGTTTTGAGGTTTTTTGATCTTGCTCCTCTAGCTCTTTCAATTTTGACTATGGGGTGTCAATTTTTGATCTCTCCTTGCTTCTCATGTGGGCACTTATTGCTATATATTTTCCTTTGAGACTGCTTTAAATGTGTCCCAGAGATTCTGGTATGTTGTGTCTTCATTCTTGTTGGTTTCGAAGAACATCTTTATTTCTGCCTTCATTTCATTGTTTATCCAGTCAACATTCAAAAGCCAGTTGTTCAGTTTCCATGAAGCTGTGCAGTTCTGAGTTAGTTTCTGCATTCTCAGTTCTAACTCGATTGCACTGTGGTCTGAGAGACTGTTGGTTATGATTTCCGTTCTTTTGCATTTGCTGAGGAGTGATTTACTACCAATTATGTGGTCAATTTTAGAGTAGGTGTGATGTGGTGCTGAGAAGAATGTATATTCTGTGTATTTGGGGTGGAGAGTTCTGTAAATGTCTATTAGGTTTGCTTGGTCCAGGTCTGAGTTCAAGTCCTGGATATCCTTGTTAATTTTCTGTCTGGTTGATCTGTCTAATATTGACAATGGGGTGTTAAAGTCTCCCTCTATAATTATGTGGGAGTCTAAGTCTCTTTGTAAGTCATTAAGAACTTGCCTTATGTATCTGGGTGCTCCTGTATTGGGTGTGTATATATTTAGGATCGTTAGCTCTTCTTGTTGCATTGATCCTTTTACCATTATGTAATGTCCTTGTCTCTTTTGATCTTTGTTGCTTTAAAGTCTAATTTATCAGAGATGAGAATTGCAACTCCTGCTTTTTTTTTTGCTCTCCATTTGCTTGGTAAATTTTGCTCCATCCCTTTATTTTGAGCCTTCGTGTATCCTTGCATGTGAGATGAGTTTCCTGGATACAGCACACTGATGGGTTTTGGATTTTTATCCAAGTTGCCAGTCTGTGTCTTTTGATTGGGGCATTTAGTCCATTTACATTTAAGGTTAATATTGTTATGTGTGAATTTGATACTGCCATTTTGGTGCTAGCTGGCTGTTTTGCCCATTAGTTGATGCGGATTCTTCATTGTGTTGATTCTCTTTACCATTTGGCATGTTTTTGAAGTGGCTGGTACTGGTTGTTCCTTTGTATGTGAAGAGCCTCTTTCAGGAGCTCTTGTAAAGCAGGCCTGGTGGTGACGAAATCTCTGAGTACTTGCATGTTCACAAAGGATTTTATTTTTCCTTCACTTATGAAGCTTAGTTTGGCTGGATAGGAGATTCTGGGTTGCAAGTTCTTTTCTTTAAGGATGTTGAATATTGGCCCCCACTCTCTTCTGGCTTGTAGGGTTTCTGCCGAGAGATCTGCTGTGAGTCTGATGAGCTTCCCATTGTGGGTAACCCGACCTTTCTCTCTGGCTGCCCTTAGTATTTTCTCCTTCATTTCAACCCTGGTGAATCTGACGATTATGTGCCTTGGGGTTGCTCTTCTTGAGGAATATCTTTGTGGTGGTCTCTGTATTTCCTGGACTTGAATATTGGCCTACCATCCTAGGTTGGGGAAGTTTTCCTGGATAATATCCTGAAGAGTATTTTCCAGCTTGGATTCATTCTCTTCGTCGCATTCAGGTACACCTATCAAACATAGATTAGGTCTTTTCTTGGAGACTTTGTTCATTCCTTTTTACCCTTTTTTCCCTATTCTTGCCTTCCCGTTTTATTTCATTGAGTTGATCTTCGACCTCTGATATCCTTTCTTCTGCTTGGTCAATTCAGCTGTTGAAACTTATGCATGCTTCGCGAAGTTCTCGTGTTGTGTTTTTCAGCTCCATCAATTCACTAATATTCCTTTCTATTTTGTCCATTCTCATTAGCATTTTGTCAAATCTTTTTTCAAGGTTCTTAGTTTCTTTGCATTGGGTTAGAACATGTTCTTTTAGTTCACAGAAGTTTCTTACTACCCACCTTTTGAAGTCTGATTCTGTCGTTTCATCACACTCATTCTCCCTCCAACCTTGTTCCCTTGCCGGTGAGGAGTTGTGATCCCTTGGAGGAGGAGAGGTGTTCTGGTTTCGGGTGTTTTCATCCTCTTTGTGCTGGTTTCTTCCCATCTTTATGGATTTATCCACCTGTCGTCTTTGTAGTTGCTGGCTTTCAGATTGGGTCTCTGAGTGGACGTTCTGTTTGTTGATGATGAGGTTATTTCTGTTTCTTGGTTTTCCTTCTGACAGTCTGGCCCCTCTGCTGTAGGTCTGCTGAGGTCCACTCCAGGCTGTGCTTGCCTGGGGATCACCTGCAGCAGCTGCAGAACAGTAAGGGTTGTTACCAGTTTTCTTCTTCTGCTGTCTTTGTCCCAGAAGAATACCCGCCAAATGTCAGTCTGATCTCTCCTTTATGAGGTGGCTCTTTGGATATACAGGGGTCAGGGAGCTGCTTTAGGAGACAGTCTGTTCTATATAGGAGCTCACATGCTGAGCTGTGAGCTCTGTTGTTCATTCAGAGCTGCTGGGCAGGTATGTTTAGGTCTGCTGCAGCAGAACTCATAAAGCGCTTTTTGTTCCCAGGTGCTCTGTCCCAGGGATTTAGGGCTTTATTTATGAGTTTCCGTTGTGCTGCTGCCTTCTTTTTTTTTTTTTCCTTCAGAGCTGCCCTGCCCAGCAATGATGCACCCTAGTCACTGTCTGCCTGTAGAGACTTTGCTGAGCTGCTGTGGGCTCCGCCCAGCTGCCAAGTGAACTTCCCTGCAGTCCTGTTTATATGGGAGTAGTTAGAACTGCCTCGGCAATGGTGGCCCACCTCTCTATTGGCGGACTCTCTCTGTAATGGCGGGCTGCCTCGGCATTGGCTGACTACCTCCTTAGTGTTGGAGTGCCTCGGTAATGGCGGACGCCCCTCCCCCACAGAGCTGGACCGTCCTGGGTTCAGCTGCGCTTGCTGTGAAACTCTCAATCCAGAGAGTTTCTGATTGCTGTTCTTTTGAGGGGGTGGGACCAGCTGAGCTTGATTACCTGGCTACTTGCCTCAGAGCCTTTTTTTTTTTTTAAGTTGGTATTCCAGTTGCCCGTTGAGGGGCCAGGATCTGTGTGTTTTCCTGTGTGGCAACTCACTGCGCTGTCTTAAACAGTGGCACTGAGATTCGTGGGGCTTTTTTTGCCCTGGATTCTACTGTCCTGGTTCCCTGTTCAGTCCCCTTTTTAAACAGATGAATGGGCGACTTCCCGTGACTCCAATCGCCAGCCAAAAGGGCACCCGGACCAGTGTATTTTGTGTGGAGAACCGCTGCCGGGGTGCTGACAAAGCAGACGCACTGGCGACCCGTGGGGCTCCTCCGCCTGGGAATTTCCTAGTCTATGGGCAATAAAAATGCAGCGTCCACTCACCCTCTGCGCTTTCACTGGGAGCTGCAATCCTGAGCTGTTCCTAAATGGCCATCTTAGATCGGCCTCCCAAAGTGCTGGGATTATAGGCGTGAGCCACCGCGCCAGGCCTTGTAGGGCTTTTAATAGAATTTATGTCAGTGCTCAGAAGAGCACCGTGAAAAACTGAGTTTTTATCAGGTGAATGAGTGCAAATTATATGGGGGTCTCGTGTTGTTATCCATGCTGGTCTGGAACTCCGGGTCTCGAGTGGTCCTCCTGCCTCAGCCTCCCAAAGTTCTGGGATTACGGGCATGGGCCACTGCGCCTGCCCTCCTTTGATCTTTTAATTTCCCCTTAGAATATTTGTCCTAAATACAGAAAAATGCAGGAAAAAGCATGGTGGACAACACATTGCATTTTTACAGACACATGTAGACATTTTAAAGAGGTTTTCATGAGAATGGATGTCCGTGTTTCTCTGCAGGAACAAGCACATCATGATTGACCTGGGGACTGGCAACAACAACAAGATTAACTGGGCCATGGAGGACAAGCAGGAGATGGTCGACATCATCGAGACAGTGTACCGCGGGGCCCGCAAAGGCCGCGGCCTGGTGGTGTCCCCCAAGGACTACTCCACCAAGTACCGATACTGAGGCGCCCTCAGTCTGTGCGGTCAGTGTTGTGCAGCCTTTTTCGTGCAGAAATGTTTTAAGTTATTTAAAGCCTTTGGAGCTCCAGGGCTGGAGGACCTCTGAGATGGAATTCATTCCATGGCCTTAACTAACTGAAATGAACAAGCACGTGAGAGGAGCAGTCCTACTTGTTTGTTCTTGGGAAACTCAAATAGATGACTGATCTTCTGAGTCAAAGTTAATTCTTATCCTTGGAGTAAAATGAAGGTATTTATCCATTGAGGCTTTGCGTTTTGCATACTTGATTTGTTTGCTGGGGGGGTGTGACAGCAAGCCACAAACTGGGTGGCCTCAACAGAGATGTATGCTTTCACATCTTCACGGGCAGGAAGTCCAGGATCAGGGTGTCGCAGGGTGGGTTCCTTCTGAGGCTGTGAGGGAACTGCTGAGGCCTGTCCCTGGCCTCTGGGGGCTGCCAGTGATCTTTTCTGTTCCTTGGTTTGTGGATGCTTCACCCCATCTCTGCCTTCACTTTCAGTTCACATGGTGTCCTCCTTGTGTGGGTGCTGGTCTCCAAATCTCCCCTTTTCCTAAGGACACCATTTGTGTTGGATTGGGGGCCACCCTGCTCCAGCATGGCCTCATATTAACTAATTACACTTGGCAAGGATCTTGTGTCCACAAAAGTCACAGTCTGAAGTGCTGGGGGTTAAGACTTCAGTATATAAATTTTGGGGTTACACAGTTCAACCCATGACAGAATCCAAAGGCTTATTCTTACTTTGGTTATAAAAACGGTACAATAAACTGTTGTTTAGAGCTTTCCCTTTAAGGAGTAGGAGATCTATTTTTTAATTTTTCCCAAGATTGTATTTGATGTAAACATATTTTCTGTAGAAGCCATGGCGTTTTCAGTTCTTATAGTTAGAAGATTTCCTGATTGGCCGGGTGTAGTAGCTCACGCCTGTAATGCCAGCACTTTGGGAGGCCAAGGCAGGCAAATCATAAAGTCAGGAGTACGAGACCAGCCTGACCAACACGGTGAAGCCCGTCTCTACTAAAAATACAAAAATTAGCCAAGCGTGGTGATGCATGCCTGTAATCCCAGTTTCTCAGGAGGCTGAGGCAGGAATATCGCCTGAACCTAGGAGGCAGAGGTTGCAGTGAGCCGAGATCGCACCACTGCACTCCAGCCTGGACAACAGAGCAAGACTGTCTCAAAAACAAAAAAAAAAACCAGAAAAGAAAAAAGAAAATTTCCTTATTACAATCTCAGGTTTCTCTTGTGCCCCTCACCCTAGCAGTGTGGATGGCGTTGGTTGGGATCTTCGTGTCCCATCTCAGCACGCTCATACTTTGAAGTGAAAGTGAGGGAGGGCAGAGATGGGGGGCCCTCTGACCTCAGACCCAGGCTCTGCCTCCACCGAGTGACCGCAGGCAGGGTACCTTCTCTGAGCTTCCATTTTCTCCTTGGTAGAGGCAGATAAGAGTGTCTGCCCTGCACACAGATGTAAACACAGGGAAGCACATGGTGCTTGCTGGGCACAGGAGTGGTGCACAGGGCTCACTGCTGTCAGTAGATTGATTGCTGTTGTGAAAACAGAGGTACTTACAGAATGAAGCACATTTTTTACACATGTAAATGAGTGTATGCTTTTTAAGTGGATTTAAAATTCAAACACAAATCTGCAGTTTAATCTCCCTAGTGCTGATTTTTCCATGTATGAAGTAGGAGAGTGTAACACCATATCAGAGTGAGGAACTAGGGAGAACATCTAAGTGACCTCGAGAACCTGGCATGGAGTAGACACTCAGTATTACACTCCTCATGTTTCTCCAGAGAGGTGAAACATGGCCAGTAAGCACACAAACAGACACTCAGCATCACTGCTTTTTAAGATGTACAAATCCCAGAACCACAGTGAGATGCCACTTCACACTCACGAGTTCGGCTAGATTCAAAAAGGGGTCACAACAAGCATTCGCAGGGATGTAGAGAAATTAGAGCCCTCACACACTCCTGGTAGGAAAATGGTAAAACAGGCAGGCAGATTGTTGAAAAGTTAAACATGGACCTGGTGCAGGTGTCATGCCTGTATTCCCAGTAGTTTGGAAGGCTGAGACAGGCGGATTGCTTGAGCCCAGGAGTTCTCAGCCAGCCTGGGTAACCTGGTGAGACCCTGTCTCTACAAAAAATACAAAAAAAAATTAGCTGGGCATGGTGGTGTGTGCCTGTGGTCCCAGCTACTCGGGATGCTGAGGCAGGAGGATCACTTAAGCCCAGGAGGTCAAGGCTGCAGTGAGCCATGGTTGCACCATTGCACTCCAGCGTGGGCAGCCAAGCAAGACCCTGTCTCATGAACATGGTGTTACCCTTTGACTCAGCAGTTTCATATCCAAGAGAATTGAATGCATATGTCCACATAGCAACTTGTACACAGAAGCCAAAATGTGGAAACCCAAGTGTCCATCAACAGAGGAATGTTTAAAATGTCCATCCAAACAATGGAATATTATTTGGTCGTAAAAAGAAAAGAAGTACTGATACATGCTACAGTGTGGGTGAACACAGAAATCATTAGGTTAAGTGAAAAGCCCGTTGCTGCATATTGTGTGATTCCATTTATACGGCTTTTCTAGAACAGGCAAATCCATAGAGACAGATTAGTGGTTGCTTCAGACTGGGAGGGAGGAAGAATAGGAGGTGATAGCTAGTGGGCACAGCTTCATTTTTGACATAATGAAAATGTGCTTACATAAGAATAAGCATAAAAAGAAAAAGTGTCCTAAGATTGTGGTAATGGTTGGCACAATTCTATCAAAACCCACTGATTTGCATAATTGGTGGATGGTATATGAATTATGTCTCGTGTCAGCTTTATTGGCTGTTACCAGAAAACATTAAACAATGACATTCCACATTTGTAAGTTTATCATGATTTATTGTAAATGTGTTGCATATTGTAATATTCTGCCTGGGACTGCCATAACAAAATACTTCAGGTTGGGTGGTTTAAACAGCAGGAACTTGTCCTTTCACAGTTATCTTGTCTGGAAATCCCAGAAGGTGCCAGTCTGTGTGATTTCTGGGGAGGGCTTTCCTTGACTTGTGATGGCCACCTTCTCTGGTGCAGCCAAGGAGGTGGCAGGCAAGCCCCTGGCGTCTCTTCTCAGAAAGACAAATCCTGTTGGATGAGGGTCCCCCTCTCAGGACACATGTAACCTTAATTACTTCTGTAGATGCCTCATCTCCAAATATAGACATGCTGCAGTTAGGTCTTCAGCTATTTAGGGAGACATAAACGTTCAGTCCGTAACATATCAGGTGTAGTATGTTTGTTAACCCTTGATTTTAATAACCTTTTCATTGGTGCTCTGTGACTGCAATACAGTTGAAATCATAATGATTTGGACTCTGTCTCAAGTTTATCTCGTCATGTACCTACTGTCTACCTTGCCCTGACCTAAGTGCTTTGCAATTTTCTCAAAACCTTACAGCCACCTACCAGGTAGATACTTTGCAGAGAAGAAAACTAAAGCTTAGATTTCCCAGATTACAGCCAGTAGCAGAGGATAAGATTTTGAAGCTTGGACCTGCGTGGCTGCCCAGCCTTGCCTCATCTGTGGCACTGTAGTGCTGTAGTCAAGTTGCATTAACTAGTTCTCGGGCAGCCAGTGATTTCTGTTTCCTGTCTTCCCAGGATGGCTCTAGGCAAAGTCCAGAAATTACCTGTGGCAGCTAACTCAGGCAACAAGCCCCTAGGTACGGAATAATCAAGTTCCCTAGAGAAACTGGCAATATGTACACAAAGAAATAAACAAGAATATCGCAGCACTGTTTGGAAACAGTCAAATAGAAAGTAGATAATCAGAGGACAGTTACGTAGCACTTAGCGACTGACCTAGAGCTACACATGTCAACATGAATCAGCACTGAACAAAAAAGCAAGGGGCAGAAAGCTGCATAGAGTGTGGGGCCACTGACACTGCTTTAAGACTTTCAGAATAAATGTCTGAAGGTGAAGATGCCAGTGTATCTGCAGGAGACTTGACTAGGTGTCTGGGGCAGATTGCCTCTGCTCTGAACTCATGCAGAGAAGGCATGAGGACTTCAGTCCAGCAGAATCAGAGCACTGCCATCCCTGCCTAGGCAAACAGACCACACCCCAAAGTTAAAGTGCAGGGTGATTTCATGGCTCACCAGCTTTCTGACCTGGAGGTTCAGAGGGTCCCTGGGAAAGCATCTGCGTGGGCACAGGTGGGAGGACCTGCTCTGCGTGGGCGCTGTTCTGAATCGTTTTTTTCTACGTCGTCTTTACTAACAGCTTTCAACGTGCCTCTGATCCAGCATTCTTTTGTGGCGTGTTTATGTTCAGCATCAGAAGCTGTGAGAGTGCCTACAGCCCTCCCACCATCCTCCCTGTGGCCTTCTGTAAAGTGGTCACGGCTCTCAGCGTCTCCATGGACAAAAGGCATCCTATGAATGTGCAAAGCATGTTGAAACTCTTGAAATTCATTAACTGCAAACAATCTGAGCAGTACTGGGTTGAAGGGTTTGTGCCCTGGCGCGGTGGCTCACGTCTCTAATCCCAGCACTTTGGGAGGCCGAGGCGGGGGGGATCACTTGAGGTCAGAAGTTCCAAGACCAGCCTGGCCAACATGGTGAAACCCCATCTCTACTAAAAATACAAAAATTAGCTGGGCGTGGTGGCACATGCCCGTAGTTCCAGCTACCTGGGAGGCTGAGGCAGGAGAATGGCTTGAACCCAGGAGGTGGAGGTTGCAGTGAGCTGAGATCACACCATTGCACTCCAATCTGGGAAAAAAGAGAAAAACCCCCCCCAAAAAAAAAAAAAAAAAAAAAAGGAAAAAGAGCATTTGGAAATTTAGTCCTGGCAGTTTTCATGCAGCACAAAGGCAGTAATTCTCATAGTGAACAAATATGGGATTGTATTTTTCAAGGTGAAAGCAATCAAAAGATATGTAAAAGGCTGACATAGTTTCCTAATAACGACCTTACCATTTGTTCTTTCATAGAATTTTCAATGCCGGCTTGCACCATTAAGTCATTGACATTCTTCTGTAAGTCCTCAATGCGATTTCCCATTTCTTCCAGTGCAATGTTAAGGACCTCTGCACATAGAGCTGGCGTGCAGGGCAGCCGAGGTGAAGCCAGGATGCCCTCAGAGACCCTGCCTCCCATGGCACCTGCCGTTCTCGTGCCCATGGCAGAGCCATGGCAGATGCAACTTTTAAAACGAGGGAATCAACGACAGGCTTAGT